ATATGTGGCTGGTGCCTTAGCCACTTGAGCCACAGGCGCCAAGCCGCCTGGCTATTTTTTGGTTGCAGCTGTCATTGTTGTTTGGCGGGCCCAGGCTAGATTTGAACCCACCAGCTCAGGTGTATGTAGCTGATGCCTTAGCCTCTTGAGCCATAGGCGCTGAGCCAAACCACCAACTTTTAAATAAAATCACTTACCAGCTTCTAAAAGCAGGAGGTGCAAGAGTAACCAATATGTAAGGATGGCGTTTCCTTTCTGCATCTTCATCTGCTGCCTTGTGGCAGGAAAGCAAGATGCCTGGATCCCCAATATGCCAAGATCTTAGAAGGCAACGAGCAGATGTTTCTTGAGAAAGGAGAGTTGAAAGTAAAGAAATAAAGGCTGGAGCTTCCAGGACCCTGGGCCTCCTAAGTATGTGTCCTTGGGAAAAACTGTGAGCTTGGGGGCAGGTGGCTGGACGCCTGAGCTCCTTAGGGTTCCTCCGCGATGTTGCCTCTTTCTCTGCAGTGAAAGAACTGCTGGGGCCTTTATAGTTTCATAAGGGCTAGGGAGAGGTGGGGCAGTTGACTTGACAGTCTGCCAACTGCGAGTAGGTGACAGATACTGAGCCTGGGAAGGAATCAAGTGGGGTCAAGAGGAAGATGAGGAAGGAGAATGACATGGTTACACCAGGCAGGGCACTAGCCTGGGGTGCGGCAAGAGGTACAATAGGATAAGAAGATCAAGGTTGTCAGAGTGGAAAGGACACACCTTTGAGGCAGGATGGGGTTAGAAACCTGTTCTAGCTCAAAACCTGTTGTTTCCTGGTCAGGAAGTTTTGCGGGCCTGCCTTAGCATGGAAGAAGCCCAAATAAATAGAGCTGATGGGGCAGGACTCCACATCTCTGAAGCAAACACAAATTGGAGACCCAAAAGAGACCTGTAACTAGGAATCTGGGCAGAAGACAAATGGAGCATTGCTTGGACTAGGGACTCAATAGTGCACATCAAATGAACAGAGGAAGAGACCTAGGGTAATGAAGCCATCTTTGGGGTCTCCGTCGGGCAGGGGAGCTGAGGGTGTGGCGAGAGTGTTAAATATGCAGGAACGAGTGCCCATGAAACCCATAGCAGGTGAAGAGGTGTAGGGCCCCTTCTGACCCTCCACCAGGAGTATCCCTTGTTTTTGCTGTCAGGAGGCCTCCGTCGGAGCTTCGTCGTCTTAGAATCCTTCAGATGTGTCTTTGCCTCAGTCTTAATGAGACATCTCTCAGTAGAGGCACAGGTGCCACATCAGGACACATGGGAGGAGGAGATATATAGTCCAAGGCCTCCAGGAGCTTTGAGTTTGGTCTGGACACTTGAAGGTGGCCATCAGAAAAGACACAGTCAGCTAAACAAATATCACTAAAGAGACCCAAATGGGCAGAGAGCTTGGGGAGTTCATGGAAGGGGGCATCTGGTAACCAGGGTGATGGCAGTGCCAAGGTACAGTCTGCATTTTCTGTCTTAGTCTGCTTGCGTTATCATACAGGAATACCTAAGGCTGGGTAATTTATCAAGAAAGGAGGTTTATTTGGTTCATGATTCTGCAAGCTGTACAAGAAGCATGACGCCAGCAATTGCTTTTCAGAGAACTTCCATTCATGGTGGAAGGCGAAGGGGAGCCAGTGTGTAGAGATCACAGGGTGAGAGAGAGGAAGTGAGAGGGGAGCAGAAGAGGTGTCAGGGTTTTCCAACAACCAGTTGGAACTAAGGAACTAAGACTGACAACCCACTCTCCCACTGCCAAGAATGGCACCATGCCATTAACCAAAGATCAGGCCCTGCAACCCAAACTGCCCCCCCACCTGGCTCCACCTCCCAAATTTCAACAGGAGACTGGTGGGGCCAAACAAACCGTATCCAAATCATAGCAATGACCAAAGGGAGTTGTCACCATTCTCCTAACAATGAGGAAAAGCTTTATGGAAGAAGCAACATCTCAGAAGATTTATTTGAAGGTAAACAAGCTTTCCAGAAATGCAAGACCTGTTTGAAGGAAGCTGGCAAGCAGAAGTGGGCTGAAGATAAGAAGAAGCTTTGAAGGAGTGATATTGAGAGTTAGAAAGGAGAAAAAAGAAAGGAGAGTTGTGGTGGGAAAGGTTCAGAGTGGGTCTGGCCACTCTCTGCTGGGAAGACCTAAGGCTCAGGTGTGAGGGTACAGTCAGTGACAGACAGGGTCCTATACTCCCTGCATACCTGAAGTCTTTGTAGCTGAAAAGCCAAAAGCACTCTATAAAGAAACTTTTTTTCCCCCTCTAGAATTATATGGATGCTGAGATCCTGGATTCAAGTTCAAGTTCCACCTTTTATAAGTGATCCTAAAAATCTTAACATGCATATTTACCTTAGCAGAGTCTAAATGTATTTAACATCTTTACTCTCCATTGAAATAATAGAAAGAGCTCAGAACACTTTAATTCTTATTACCCATCTCTCACATCTCCCAGTGCATACCCTAATGTCATCAAATATTTTAATTCTATCTTGTTTTTTAACTTCATGAAAGATCGTTGATGCCTATTTACATACCATCAGCCTCAACATAGTCACACAACTACACGAAGCCGCAAGGGAGACTGGAAAATACAGTCTCTAGCTAGGCAGACGTGTTCAACCAACATTTGAGAGTTTTATTATTAAAGATGGAGAATGGGCATTTAAGCCTACATACTTTATATGTGTACTCTGTATTTAATAATTCTCATACCTAAAGCCTTTGTGAATCTGATCCTGCATTTTGTTTTGTTTTCTTCCTTTTGGGCTTTTACTCAAGGTATCTGTTTGCATTTGTTATTTGAGATTTATGACAACAAGTTTATTTTTCTTGGAATGTTATCTGTAGAAGTTCTCTGAAGCCCGAGATGAAGGTATGATCTTTCACAGAGAATCTGCATGATTTTGCCCAGCATAAGAGGCATTATCACTTGAGGTTTATTTTGTTATTTTTTAATTTTAATTTTAAAGTTTTTTAACATTATAATTATACATGTTTATAGGGTATAATTTGATGTTTTCATACATACTTATTTTGTATAATTTGAGGATTCTTTTAAATTAAATTGCAGGATTCAGGTCTTTTGAATTATCTAGACTACATGACTTGGAGCTGCAAACCATGTAAGGTATTATCGTACTGCATTGTATTATTTATTTCTCTGGATGGGCACAGTGGCATATACCTGCAATCCTAGCACTCTGGGAGGCCAAGGTGGGAGGATCTTTTGAGCTCAGGAGTTGGAGACCAGCCCAAACAAGAGCAAGACCATGTCTCTACTAAAATTGGAAAAATTTAGCCAGGTATTATCGCAGGCATGCTGGTAAGTCCCAGCTATTCAGGAGGCTGAGGCAGGAAGATCACTTGAGCCCAGGAGTATGAGGTTGCTGTGAGCTAGGCACAGCACTCTAAATTGTTAACTTTTTTGACTCTGGGCAATGGAGTCAAAAAAGTTAACAAATTATTTCTCAAGAGATACTTCTCCCTTCCCTCACCAGCACCAAGTTTAGAGACAGACATTTTTGCATGCTTTTCTTTAGAGGAGGGACAGATTTATTTTTAGTTACAATCTCACTGCAGTTGCCAGATTTGTGTGAAAGTCTACTACTCAATTCCCCAGCTTGGGCTGGTCCTACTGAGGCTGATACCTGAAGCTTAGGGTTATTGTGTCTGCCAAAGTTGGCTTCAGTACTTCCCTTACTTCCTGGAGTTCTACTTAGTCTTTAATTAGCATTTTTTACTCTCCTGCCAATTCACTGATTTCTTTAAGAACATTTTTTAGTACATAATTGTTAGCTTTTCAGGCTATTTTCAGTAGAGCACTTAGCCCCATTATATAGCCAGAAATCTAAGTTCTCACTGGATTGTTTTGAGAAATAAACAATGATGTATTTAAAGACAGTAGCATAATCTTTGGCATTTAATGAGCATGCAATAATAAAGGACAAAAAACAAGACAAACATGAAAACATAAACACATAGATGCCGAGTGTATTTTAAGATTTAATTTTCAATGATCCAGAGAATTTCTCCTTACTTGCCTCAAAGTATTTGGAAGAGACAAAGAAGTAGGGAAGAAAAAATCTTACCAAAGATGAAAGAGACCTGGAGGGCACTGAGTGGGTCTAAGAGCTTTCTGGTCTACTCAGTTGGTATAATTTGAGACTACAAACCCAAATGAAGAAGGTCATGTAATTACAAATTCTCAGGGGAGATTTTTCATCTCCTCCACAAAGTGCCAAATTTAGAGACAGACATTTTCCTTACAGCCCCAATGTGCCTGGTGGGCAATACAGTTGTAGGTTTCATCTGTTTGGATCTCAGATTTATTTAAGGTCTCCTGTTAGACTCCCTTTGTGTGCAGACCCTAGACTTTGAGCCCAATATTCTAAGCACTAAGAAGCTATGAGAAAATAATCTCAAGTTTAGCAAATTTGGCAAATTCCCTCAATGCAAAGGCTGCTTCAGAGCTCCTCTTAAACTCTTTGAGTCTCTGCCTTCTCTGTCATTGATCTAAATATTATCTACCACCTATCCTGCTAATTGATTCACTTGCAAAGATATTTTTCAATATTTTACCCAGAAATATTTGTTACTTTCATTGAAAGGAGTGGTTAATGTTAACATCTTGCCACTATGCTGCCAGAAAAGTGGACATTCTCAAAGGATTGTTTTGATCATTAAGTAATAGCATATTTAAAGTCACCATATTTAAAGTCACAGGCCAGTCACAGTGGCTCACACCAGTAATCCCAGCACTCTGTGAGGTCAAGGTGGGAGAATACCTTGAGCTCAGAAGTTTGAGATCAGCTTGAGCATAGAGAGACTCACAAACACACACTAAAAATAGAAAAACTAGCTGGGTGTTGTGGCAGGTGCCTGTAGTTCTAGCTACTCAGGAGACTGAGGCAGGAGGATCACTTAAGTCCCAAGGCGGCAGGAGGATCACTTAAGTCCACAAGTTTGAGGTTGCTGTGAGCTAGACACCATGGCACTTTAGCCTCGGCAACAGAGTAAGACACTGTTTCAAAACAATAAAAATAAACATAAGAATAAAGTCACCACTACAATGCTTACCACATAGTAAACATTCAGTAACAAAGGAAAAAGGAGAGAAAAGAATGTCTAGACGACCAAGCAAGAGTATCCTCTTGCTACCACAGATACTATGAGCTTTTTTTTAAGCTATAATAATATTATTCTTCCTCTTATTGGTCAGGTTGCAACCCAAAGAAATAATAAAAATCCA